ATAGTTCAGCTGGGAATATAAGGAGAATGATTTTGCTAAATTTTAAGCTAAAATTTGATCTCAATTCGATACAAAAGCCGATCCATCAACAATCGCTTTCTCCATTTCTTTTTCCTTTCTCATTTTTCATTGCGTCATCGCCCACTTTGCATAACGATTCACGCAATGAGAGATCATCGATTTGAGACTTACTTATGGGAAAAACGTCGAGAAAAGAATAAAGAAAAGAATGAGAAGAAGATTGATTGTTTAATCTACCTCTTTTCTTTTTTTTTGACACTTCAACGCCTTCGATTCTTCGAGAACTGTTCTTTTGCACAAAATCGATATTTTCTATATGAATTTGACTAAATATTCGCAAGTTTCATGTGAGTTTTCTATGCCAGGACAAACTAGAACAAACTAGAACTAACTAGAGACTAAAACTAACTGGGTTCATTGCATAGAAAGCCCACTACAACCAGACAAAGTATTCTGGGATGACTAGTATTAGCAAATCAAACTTTGTGCACTTCATTGGAACCATTTGATAAGTTATTAGCGATTTTCCGATGGACAACCGTTGACCTCTCAAAGAAAAAAATGGAAATATTGGAAAAGTGGAAAAGCAAAAGGGAAAAATGGAAATTAAGGAGTAAAATTAGCAAATCAAACTTTGTGCACTTCTTTTGTACCATTTGATACGTTATTTTTTCAATCTTTCAACCCTTACTTTCCATTTTTCCCTTTTGCTTTTCCACTTTTCCAATCTTTCGATTTTTTCTTTGAGAGGTCAACGGTTGTCCATCGGAAAATCGCCTCCAGCTATCCTCTCGTGCCCTAAAAAAGATCACTTTCAAAAGTCCCGATCATTTTAGACAGATCATATCTCATTACTCATCACTTTTGGAGGCGCTATATAATGGATTGAGTTGAACAAGCCGTTCCTGTTGGAGTAAGATATAGTCGGCGCCGGGATTCGAACCCGCGACATCTCGCCTACCGGACCACCACCCAACCACGTAGCTCTACCAATGAGCTACACCGTCACGTTTTCCGTCGCCGTCAAGGTAGGGTCTTATACCTTACTGTTTAAAAACTTTCACTCGCCATTGTTACTGTATCGTGTTGAGACTTGACAAGTATTCCTTTTCTAACACTCCCATAAATGCCAAAGAAATTTACTTTGAAGTACTTTGAAGTAAAGTTTTTTGGCATTTATGGGAGTGTTAGAAAAACAATACTTGTCAAGTCCCAGCAAGATACAGTAACAATGGCGACTGGAAGTTTCTGGTGACTATTCACTATTCACTAGATTCAAACAGTTCAAATAGATAATCTTTTACCCAAAAAGCCAAATGTACTTTATTCTATGTTTCAAATTAGCATATAACACTATTGCATGAGAAAGAGAATGTGTTGAAGGGAAATCCCGCCCCTTTTCCTTTCTCTTCACTCTTCCTCCCCTTCGGGATTCATCAGAGCTCCCGAAATCCATTGGGTACGTTTCCAAAAAGTATTTTTTTTAATGTTTAACGTTTTTTTAGTATTTAATGTTTTAATGTTTACAAGTGTTTTAAGTTATTCATTTCTTTTAAAACTATTAAGAATTGATAGAGACAATGGGCTGGCAAAGACAAGGCTGACAAGAGCTATTCCACAATTTTGATATTCAAAGATACTTCTGTGAAATTGGCAGACTAAAGAAGTGGAATTGGCAAAGATATAGATGTTCGAAGATGGATTGAATGCTTTCCTGCTTGCTCTTGCTTTCCGGGCTTTCCTACTCTAACCACTGAGCTATTCAGTACCTTGATTTGTCAAGAGAAAGAGGGAAGATAGAAAAAAAGAAAGAAGCTTTGAAATTTCATTCTCAAAGTGTTTCAATTGTGTTACTTTTTCCCTTTCTTTGTTAATTCCCCTATCCTAACCCTTCCCCACATTGATGCCTTGGTGCAAATGAGGGAAATAAAGGGTACTCAGCCATCTCTCTGTCTACCATTCTTGCCCTTTCCCCCTCCTTGAACACATGTCCCTCAAAATTTGTTCTCCCAATTTCTCTTTCTTCTCTTTCATTTCTTTTCATTCTCGTTCACTCGTTTACTTGTCACTTTTTATCGTTGATTGACAACTTTCCACCAATCACAAACCAATAAATCCGACAATCCACCATTTTGTCATTCAAGAAATTCACTTTCTGCCAGATGGACAGCATTTTGTTATTGTCTTATTTCAACAATTAATTGCCCAATTTCAACAATCCTAACCCTTTCCCGGGATAGGCTACTTTGCGCCAAATTTTTTGCGCAACTGGATCATTTGCGCAACTAGCTCTTTTGCGCAACTATTGGGTTGGTGGAAAAGTTCTTTCCGATTTTTTGGGAGAGTACTTTAAATTTGTCCAATTTTGACGTTTTATAGCTCATCTTAAAGCTGAATTCAAGACGGATCGATTGGTAAAAACCATTTTGAGATATCTCTTTTCTAAAAGTTTTTACAGCTATTTTAGTAAAGGGCGGCAGAGCCAAAAAATGGCTGTTTTCACGTTTCGTTAGTTTTCCGTGCAGAAACCTAGGCTAAAAACATGTGTTTCGTGATCAGCGTCAAAAATAACCCCTAGACACGCATTTTCAGAATCTTAGCAAAAAATTTTTGAAAAATATTGTCACCGGTGGAAGTCGAACCAGCGACCCTCAGTCTAATAGCCTAACTCGCCATAACTTTCTTCGAAATCGGCCAATCTTTATGATTTTGGTGTCATTTTGTTACACTTTTTGAGATCTACAAAATGACACAAAAATCATAAAGATTGGTTTGCTTAGAAAAAAGTTATGGTGAGTTGCGCAAACGATCCAGTTGCAAACCCAGGCGCAAACCCAGGCGCAAACCCAGGCGCAAACCCAGGCGCAAACCCAGGCGCAAACCCAGGCGCAAACCCAGGCGCAAACCCAGGCGCAAACCCAGGCGCAAACCCAGGCGCAAACCCAGGCGCAAACCCAGGCGCAAACCCAGGCGCAAACCCAGGCGCAAACCCAGGCGCAAACCCAGGCGCAAACCCAGGCGCAAACCCAGGCGCAAACCCAGGCGCAAACCCAGGCGCAAACCCAGGCGCAAACCCAGGCGCAAACGACCCAGTGACCCAGTTGCGCAAATAAAATGGCGGAAATTAGCCTACGGAACTTAGCCTTTCCCACATTGATGCAAATGGTGCAAATGAGGGAGATAAAGGGTACTCAGCCAACTCTCTGTTTTCATTTAATATTGATATTCTTTTCGATATGCTATTATTCTCTTCATCTTCATTATCAATTTTTGTTTTCCACCGATTAGCTCGGTTTTCTATTCAATTTCTTTTAAAGCTTATCTGCAAAACGTCAAACTTTCAGAATCAAAAAAATGAGCTAGAAAGCTAGAAATGTGTGAATGTGTGCCTGCTCCGCCAATTTTTGACATCGGTCTTCCGCCCGATCCGACTCTCATCTGGCATCTCATTTCTGATGAGCTTTTTCAAGGCGTAAGTTTTGCTATATTGCTATATTGCTATATTGCTATATTGCTATATTGCTATATTGCTATATTGCTATATATTCTCATTGCTAAAATTTGAAGTTAATCGTCTTTGTGTTAATCGAATCGATGCAGTTAATCGTCTTTGTGTTCGGCTTTTATTTCATCTATAACATGCCAATCCTTTTATGGGTTCGGCTGGGAATGCAAAACATGATCAGCGCCGGGATCAGCGCCGGGATCAGCGCCGGGATTCGAACCCGCGATCTCTCGCTTCGCTCTACCAATGAGTGACACCGAGACATCCCATTGCCTTATGCCTTACTAGTAATCGATAGCCATTTTTAATATGGATATAGCCTTATGCCTTACTAGTCATTGATGGCCGTTTTTAAACCCAAATATAGACTATTTTATAATCAAAAACATATCAAGTTGCTCGGTAAATCTTTTGATGAACATGAGATTTACTCCAAAATCTCTCTAGGCCTTCTATAGAGAAATTTCAGCTTTCAGCATTAAATATATCCGTTATTTCTTTCAAAATCTCTCCAATTTCCCGTTAACTTCCCAAAAGTCGCAAATTGAATTCCGTCCATTCAACAAAAGCAATGTTGAGAGGGAAAAAAGGAGTGAAATGTTGACAAATCGCTACTATTCTTGAAAAGTGATGTCCCAAAAGGGTTCTCTCTCTTGAATTCTTTCTTGAATTCTTTCTTGATTTCTTTCTTTTCCCAATCCTTTCTCAACTTGCTTGTTAGACGCTTTTCTTCACAAATTTTCACCAAGGATTTGGTGCATAAAGGGAAAAGAGGAGAGGGTCCCTTGGGGGGAAATTCGATTTTCTAACGGCTGTCTTCTTCGTTTTCCTGATACTGGATATTATTTAGTTTCTATAGGAAAAATGGAATCGAAAGTCGTGACATTCAAAAAGTACAAGTGCAATAAATAGATGAAATGAAGTAAGGAAATTCGCTAGCCGCTGGGATTGAACCCGTGAGCTCTTGACTTGGATACAAGACTGCTTGGATACAAGACTGCTAACCATTCGACCTTGGGGGCAGTGTTTATTGAACCAAATTACCGGGGTATGAGGCTTTAAACAGTCAATAAGGGACCACTCCTTTACCCCCATTTTTCTGAAAAAGATTCAAGGCCAAAAGGAAAGAAAAGGAAGCATTTATGAAGGGTTTAGGGGTATCCATGAACCTTTTCTCTTTCTCTTTCTCTTTCTCTTTCTCTTTCTTCTTCCTTTCTTCCTTTCTTTCTTTCTTCCTCTTCTTCCTTTTCCATTCTTCTCTTCAATCATTTCCCTGTCAATTTCTTGTGAATCTCCCCGTTTTCTCATCTCGTTTTCTCTCAAGATCTGACCGGGATTCTCGACAACATCTCAAAACATTCCCATATTGCAAAGAGATTCACAATCAAACCCGCCAACTCAATTTATGTGACAGAATCGGGGAAATTTGTTTAAGGGATAATTGTAGTGAAAACTGAGATTCTCAGTGAAAAGTATGGTTATTTATTTCTAAAAATAGTTTTGAAGTTTCGAAAAAATTGATCAGAACAAAAATTGTGCGCTGCCAAGACTCGAACCAGCGACCTTTCGCTTACCGGGCAACTGTGCTAATCATTACACCACAGCACACTTGTTTTCCCGAGCTCCAGAGGGAGTTAAGTAAGCGTCAGTTTGAAACTTTTGAAAGTTTCAGGCTCTTTAAAACGCCGCCACAAGCTGACCAAGCAACTACCTTGGTGGTCTAGTGGATAGTCTAAACTACCAAACCTTTTACATTCTTTCCCCACGAGTCTGAGTAGTCTAACTCGAGTTCAAGTAGTCTAGTGGATAGTCTGCTAAACTACCAAACCTGTTGCAAGCTTTCCCTTGCAAGCTTTCGAATCCCACTCTCACCAAACTTTTTGGCTTATTGAAAATTAAACATTTTTGCAAAGGCATCATGGATTTGAAAAAGAAATTACGAAAAAATTTAGTCAGATGACTGCACATGGGATCCGTTTATCTCGATCAGCGACGAGACGGCTACAATCAGAGAAAGGTTTTGATTCTCTGAACGATTCTCTGAAGCTTGAAAGAATATCTTTTAGAAACGATCCGAAAACCCTTGAGAATAAAGGCAACGATGTGAGAGTGCCGATATTCGTTTGTGCTTTGATGACCGTTCTTTTGCTATTCATTCTCATCACAATTGTTGCGATTAAATTCAGGAGGTGAGTGAAATTCTTGGCATTTGAATTTGCATTTGAATCCTTTCAAATTTCGAATCTCATTTTGAAATTCTGCATGAGAATTCAAAAATTCAAGAAAGGCAACCAAAAATGATCCACTCACTTTGGTGAGCGCAATTTTTTGGAAATCTGTCATCTAAGGTTGATTTATGAGATGAGATTGATGAGGGAAAAGGGTTTTTAAAGGTAATTTTAAGGATTTCAAAATGGGAAGCTGGGAAGCTTTTTCAAAAGAATCAATCCCGTTTTTCTAATAGAAAATTGAAACCTTAGTTGCTACAATTGCTTTAGGACAAGCTAGAATTGCTAGAATTGCTTTAGGACAAGCTAGAATTGCTAGAATTGCTAGAATTGCTTTAGGACAAGCAATTCTAATATTGCCTAGTAATAGTGAATAGAATTTTTTACTTAAATAAAACCCAAAATTTCTTAACTTTTCCCATCTCAGCTATGAAACCCAGGCATTGAAAATTCAGTGAATGAGGCGAATTGTTGCCTTTTCGTTGGAGTATTTCTGGGTGACATGTGGTGGGTAAAAAGAAAAGAGAATGTTTCATCAAGTGAAAGAGATGAGAGGAGAAAAGAAGTCTTTTTCTTCTCCTTTGTTGTCTTTCACATTTCTAACACGAGTTGAGTCTCGTCTCACATTCTTTCAGAAGAGAGAAAAGAATATAATGAGACCATGTGCTCCTTATGTGACAAAATATGAATGTTAAAATGTGGAAAAGAAAAGATAAATGATTCTTCCCGGTCTTTTGAAATTTGACCGGCCAGATCCAGCTGAACTTGGCTGAAATTTGTAGAGAAATACAGCCAAATTTCAGGCAAGAATTGATCCCAAAAATTTCGGCATACTGACGCGGAAAACCTTTCCCTTTACGGATTTAACTTGTGAAGATTTGATTACTCGACAAGTCGATGGCTTTGAATGAAGTCGACCGTTCCTTTTCTTTCGTGAATTCCAAAAGGAGCCCCTATCTATCGGGAGGGGGTGCCAGAAGGCGAGCGATTCTGCGCACGCGCAAAGAACAGCTCGACAGTCACTTTGCACAGTGATTTTTGTAAGTACAAAAAGAAATTCAGCTGTAAATTTGTAGCCGGGAGTTTTCAGGATTAAGGGATCGATTAGCGCTATTCATTTTGCTGAGTCTACCAATTAGAACACAGATTAAATGGTCGTAATTTTAGATAAATTCGGAATCTCTTAGCCTATCTTGGAGAGAAGATTCGTAGCTTTCAAATGATAAATAATGGCTTTCAAATGATAATGATAGAGATCTCAAGAGATTCGAATTGGTTTTGGGTTTTGCAGATAGCTTTTCCCAATGAAAAGACCCGAATTTCCGAGAAGAAGCTGATAAACTTTCGATTGTTGATTGATTGATTCGAAAATGCATTTTCTGACTGGATTTTCTTTCCATTAGCTTTTCATAAACGTCAAATTAGCTTTGTTTTAGCTTAAGCTTTAAGATTTAATTGTTTTCAAGAAGATTTGGTACAATTTTGATGAACAATGCTGCTTTCAAGTCAGTACAATAACAATAAAGCTAAACAATACTGCTAATCAAGACAGTAATTCAGATCAAGGCAGATTCTAAACCCGATTAAAGCTTTAGTGACGTTTGCGCTTTCTAAATCTACAGTGTGTAAGACAGCTTTCCCAGATTGTTTATATAAAATTTCTGAACTTTGAAAACACACGACATCTCCATAAATGACTCACCATCTTGAGCAATTCTGTCAGTCATTGCCAAGTCATTGGGGTCACTAACGAAGAAAAGAAAAGAGAGCAAAGGGGAAATGGTTTTGACATGAAAAGAGAGAGACTCTCTTGTGCTTCATTCCCCCAAATTCTCATCGATAGTTAGAGGAAACCAATTCCTTCTTGGCTTTCCGCTACTTCTCGTCGTTGTGCTAATGAGCTGAATGGATGACAGGGATCATTGAGGGGAATAAGAAATGTGAAGGCCAAATGGCTGGTGATGACACAATGAATTTCTCGTTCACTCTCGAATTTCTCGAACTTATTTCTCGAACTCGAACATTTCAAATTTAAAAGAGAATCTTGAGATTATTGGTAATAGCTGTCATCGACAGCTGGCAAGCCAGGTGAGCTAGACAAGCAGCTGGCATAGGTGAGCTAGACAAGCAGCTGACAAGCTAAGTCAGCTAGGCAAGCAGTTGACAAGCTAGGTGAGCTAGACAAGCAGCTGACAAGCTAAGTCAGCTAGACAAGCTAGGTCAACTAGACAAGCTAGGCCAGCTAGACAAGCTAGGTGAGCTGCCTAGTTTTCAAATTAGTCAAAACTTTAAAACTTGCATTCAAAACTTGACCAAATCAAGAGCCAAATAAAGGCTAAAAAATCCCGTTCTGTCTTTAGTTTTCAATGCATTTTTGGCCTTAAAGACTTAAAAAGTATTTCCCTCTCTTTCTTCTTTGTGTTTCCTATTTCTTCTTGACCAAACAAGGTGCCGATAGCTCAATGGGAGAGTATTTAGCAGAAGATCGATGGTCCAATTCCCCCTTAGTTCCAAATTCTTTGCCATTAACTTCTTTACTTTATTAACTTTATTGTTCTTCTTTACTTTATTATTCCGTATTTATTTTGAAACAAAAAGTGTACTTTCTTTGTCATCCCAAAACTTTCGCGTCTCATTTTGTGACACAATTCAATAGACAAGCCAAATTTCGACTAATTTGGTCGAAATTTGGGCCAAGGAAGTGCAAAGAATGAAATGAGATTCACACGGCTCGTTTCCTCTCAACAATCGATTGGGAACGATAATAAAGTTAGCAATGCAAGTGTCTTGGATGAACAGAAGGCAATAGAAAGGAGGCAATTTTAGAAAGAATTCAATGGTACACGACAATTTTACACTAGAATTTAAGAAAGGATTCAATAGTTTGTGCATTTCCACAGATTCTTTGAAATGAGATTCTTTGCATTCCCACAGTCCTTTTTCTTTGAAATGAGAGTCATCGAATGAGCGAGTCCATCGCTTTATGATCCCACGATCTTGAAAGAACACAATTGCCTGTTTTTCCGTGTATTGAGCCACATCAGAGAAGCAAAGCGCCTAAAAAAAGACGTGTAATAAGAGAAACAATATATAGAAATGAAAAAAAAACCCCAAACTTCTTTGAAATCTGTAAAAAAATCAAGAACTTTCAGAAAATCCCTCCAGAGCACATCAAGAAAGAAGAAAACCCCGTCAGCCGATCACATTCTCACCGCTCCTGACAACACTTGGAGCTACAATTCAATGAAAACAACTCCAAATTCTGTTCATGTAAGTAGAAATTCGTTTGCTCATTGGAAATTATATTTCAAAGGATTATATTTTCAAATTTTTAGGGGTCACTTGGCATTCTGATGTACGGTGACGCGCGGAATGCTGGCTCAATGGTTTTCCACAAGAACCCAACTCCAAACACGATAAGGTTCAGTGCTAATATTGAAATCAAACATAAACTCTAATCTAATCAACAAATTACACAAAGCTATCCGATGAAAAGTTGCTTATCATCTATTCCCAGCATTGCCTATCATCTATTACCAGCATTGCTTAGCATCTATTACCAGCATTGCTTATCAGCTATTACCAGCGTTGCTTGTCATCTATTCCTAGCATTGCTTATCATCTATTACCAGTATTGCTTATCATCTATTACCAATGCATTAAGAACTTTTTTTGAAGAGAAAAGAGGTGATCAATCAATCGAAAATTAGAAAATCTTGACCTAATCCGTTCGATTCTTTTTCCTTTTTTCTGATCGTTCGATTCTCGTACAGTAATCGCTCATTTCTTGTCCCCATTTGGTGTCATTTCGCCACAAAGAATCACTCTTTCCATCTACAGGAAATGGGTAAATCTTGAGTTCCTTTACTTTAATGCGTTTTCTAAAATGCATTGAGAAAAGCACCGTCGTCAAAGTGTTAGTTTAAATTCGCTCAGCCAGATTTTAGTATCATTCAATGAACCTTGTAATTTCTCATCAAATGATAAGGAAGCAATTAAGCAAAAAAAAAAAATCACCGGAAATACTCTATAGCAAAAATCGAAAGCAGATTCGGATTTACCTTCTCGTCTAATTTCTTTTTAGAAAATCATTTTTTTCTCGAGATTTTCCTAACTACACTTTTGGTTTGAGAGAAACACACTAACAATAAGAAATGAAATAGCAAATTACTTATAAAACTTAAAACCTTAAGAAAACAGACATAAAGTTGTCCCCTAAACTCTTCCCGCCCCATTTCCTTTAGCTAATAAATACTAAATTTTGATGAAAAGTGCAGAAAAAAGAAATCGATTTATTAAATCATTTTTAAGTCACTTTAAGAGTTAAAAATTGTAAAGAAAATATGAAAAGCTTTAAAATTTTTTCTGATTTAGATCGTATCGAACGGGCGAATGTCCATTGAGACAATCGGCGACAACGATTCGTTTAAATCATCCAGGCGATTCACCCGCTGCCGCCTATCATACATTGGGAAGGCATTACGAGGAAATTCCGTCACGTTTCGCTAGCTTTGCCCCAAGTCCTTTGGTGAGTGAAAAATCGAGTCTGGCTCAGGCTTAGGCTTAGACTCAGTCTTCGCGAAGATTGAGTCTATTTGGCTGTGGGGTTTTCCGGTGATTCTCATATCTCGGTCAGGCTTAGGCTTAGGCTCAGACTCAGGCCGTGACATTGATTACAGTTTGTACGATTGAATTTAGAGATTCGGAACGAAATAGCATTATAGAGAGTCCGGACCCGGAACTGGATCCGATTTCAAAGCAGGGTTGAGCGGATCCAGATCCGGATCTCGCAAGAATACAAAGAATCTTACGGCGGCTACGCGGCGCTCTAATAGCCAGTTCATAGTACCGTTGTGTAGGCGTTAAGTAGTGTCGCGTAGCGGTCGTTCTTTGTATTCTTGCGTAGGGATCTGGATTCGGATCTTGATCTGGATTCGGATCTTGATCTGGATTCGGATCTGGATCTGGATTCGGATCTGGGTCTGGACCTGGGTTTGGATCTGGATTCCGATCTGGATCTGGATTCCGATCTGGATCTGGATTCCGATCTGGATCTGGATTCGGATCTGGATCTGGATTCCGCCTAACCCTGATCCGGAAAGAATCCGGATATCTGGAAAAGTGCAAATGAGATAGATTTTACACTAAAAGCAACCTGCTCGACTTAAAACTTTGAATCAAGAATATTAAAGAATATTGTTTCTAGTTGAGTCGGCAAGATTGGCAAAATAGTGATCGGATATCATCGAGACGACCCCCACCATCCTCTCGGCCACCTCCACCCCCACCAACACAATCAAAACCACCTGAATATGGTAAGAGAGATTCAATTTCTATTTTTATATTAGATTTGTTTTAGATTTAAACATTGAAACAGCTTACTAATTTCAGTGATTTCAGTGATTCCCACAGAGGTTTTGAGGAAATTTCACTCGCCTGGTTGCAGTGACTCATCCTTAGACAATGAGTTGGTCATTTTACCCAATGAGAGCCCACAAATGATGAAAAGGTTTGGAAAATTATCATGATAAAATGTAAAACAATTTTTTTTGCAATATACTAGCTTTTGTTTCAAAAAAAAAAGAACACATTTGCGACAATTCATGTTTTTTTCAACTTTCTGCTCAAAATTTGTACTTAGGGGTTTTCTGGGGCGAGGAATCCGATTTTGTTATTTGTTTTTAGGCAACTTTAATTTTGGAGTCAATACAGACATCGAAAAACTCTCGAAAAGCTTCGGAACTTCGGGAATTAAACCAAAATAGAGAAAAAAGAGCGGAATTGAGTTGAAAGTTCTGTAGATCTCTAGAGGCGTGCCAGAAGGCGTGCCAGAAGCCGTGCGATTACGTGAACGTAAAAATCTTCATGTTTTTGTAATCGCGTGTCTTCTGACACACTGTCGTTGACGTGGAGTCGTCTCTTGAGTAGTTAAAGCTCTTGCGTCTCTTGAGTAGTTAAACTGAATGAAATATTCAAAATTAGAATCACTTTTTCGCAAATCTAATAACGGATTCGAATTCCGCACTCTCGAAAAGTCCTGGGTGCAAATTTACAAAACAATTCGTTCATTAAAAGGCAAATTATAGCGTTTTGGCCCTCTAATTATCGCGAATGTGGGGAGTGGGACAAATGCGACCTTTTTTTGCGCACCCGGACATTTGCGCACCTTTTTTTCCGCACCTTGCCCATTAGCGCACCTTTTTTCGCGTTTTAAAAAAGCTCTAAAAAGCTAATATTAACGAATTTCTATTCCAAAAGTTGTTTTTCTAGGTAATTTGAGGGCGTAGAATCGCAATTTTGACATATCAGAGCTTGTGGAAACAAACGGACGGAGTTATACAAAGAGATCGACAAGAGATACAAATCGACAATTTTCTGTAATTTGATCTAGCCGTTTTGTCTTTCAAATTGGTTCCACAAGCTCTGATATGCCAAAATTTTGATTCTACGCCCTAAAATTACCTAGAAAAACAACTTTTGGAATAGAAATTGGTTAATATTAGCTTTTTAGAGCTTTTTTAAAACGCGAAAAAAGGTGCGCTAATGGGCAAGGTGCGGAAAAAAAGGTGCGCAAATGTCCCACTGCCCGAATGTGTTAAGAAAACTTTTAAGCTAGACTTTTAAGGCAATAAAACTGACAATTTCTCTATTATAGATGGGATGAAACGGGCGAGACTCGATCTCGTTTATCTGGCGGTGATTGTGGAAGGGAAAGTGGATACGGGACAACACCATCCACCCAATGGAAAATCTCACCGGGAAGGGAAGACACGAGGGAAAGGTGAGCGATTGGGAAGAATTCAAAGGGGAATGGCAAATGACATCAGCCATATATATGATTTGACGCAAAATTCAACGCCGATTCCGAATATGCTTTCGATTTTTGCTATAGAGCACTTTGTCAAAAGTTATAAGCTGGCAAAGTTTTGTATGAGATTTTAAAACACCCTGGGTTTATAAGCAGCTTTCTCAGAGACTTAGAGAATCTCAGAGACTCAGAAGCAGCTTTCTCAGAGACAATGGTGGCCAAATGGCAGTGGATTAGAATACAAGGCAAGTTCTTTCTAGTTCGAGTCCGTTCGAGTCCGAAATCCCAGAACTTTGCCGGCTTATAACTTTTGACAGAGTACTCTATAGAAGAAATCGAAAGCAGATTCGGAATCGGCGTTGAATTCTGCGTCAAATAAGATATATGGCTGATGTGATTTGGCCACCAACACTCCGCAGTTGATCTTCTCTTGTCAGTGACGAAGAGATTGAGCTTTAAAAAAGTGTAATCCATTAAATATCATATCCATAAGCACAAAATTGATTTAAAGATTGCAAAAATGATTTTGCAAAACCGATTTTTCAGAGGAGAGGCCAGCGCTCAACACGAAAGGGGAAATCTTGGTGAAACTCATTCGATGACTTATGTTTAGTGATCATTGTCAATGATCATTTTCAATTTTCAAGTTGCTCTATGCATTTACGGGTCATAATCAATCATTTTTGTTTGTGCTTTTCAAACGGGTCTATCGAATTGGTGTTTTCAAGCCAAAAGAACTTTTCTACACTCAATATTAAGCCTTTTTTTTCGTTTTACTTTGTTGTAGGTCGTCGTTGTACAACACTTACTAGAACTTGCAGCGAAAACATTTCGCTAGTCTTTTTTGTGGCCAATTTAAGTTTTGTCGTGTTTTTCTCAGCATTAACCCTTCGGATTTGACTATTTAAATTATGATCCGATGCAGAATAAAATTGCGCGTCGAATGATAACAAAATTAAGGCAAAATATAATATCCATGCAACGTTATTGGCTAGAAACCTAAACCACGCCCATTAAGGTGAGCGGGGCTTGAGATGAGCGGGACTTAAGATGTGCGGGACTTAAGATAAGCGGGGCTTAAGATAAGCGGGGCTTAAGATAAGCGGGGCTTAAGATAAGCGGGGCTTAAGATAGGTGGGGCTTAAGATAGGTGGGGCTTAGGCTAAGCCCCGTCCACCTTAAGCCCATAATCCCCCGCTTAGGTTTTTGCCTCATAACTTTGCGTGGGTATTACATTTTGAGCTCATTTTGGTATCATTCGACGCGCAATTTTATTCTGCATCGAATCATAGTTTAAATAGTCAAATTGCTGGTTAATGCTGAGAAAAACACAAAAAAACTGAAATTGGCCGCAAAAAAGACTAACAAATGTTTTCGTTACTAAATGAGACCATTATGGGAAACTTTGATGGCTTCATGTAAACTTTTGCACCTAATGCGGACACCTAATGCACTAAAAAATGAATTTCTCTATGAGAATTTGATATAAACAGTTGAATGGATGATATTTTTTTTTGCGAGCAATGCAGTGCAATTCACCAGTTCACTTACCGTATTTCTTCGAATAGAAGACCGGGTAAAGAGTATTATCGCGTACTCCTGCATAGCAGCCCTTTTTAAAATTTCTTTTCTGCATAAAAGCTTTCATTCAAGTGCTATAGAGCTGGAAAATGGCTCAAAAATACCACATTCACTAACAGATTTTTGAGCCATTTTCCAGCTCTATAGCACTTGAATGAAAGCTTTTATGCAAAAAAGAAATTTTAAAAAGGGCTGCTACGCAGGAGTACGCGATAATACTCTTTACCCGGTCTTCTATTCGAAGAAATACGGTAAATCATTTCATTGCCCACTTCTTCACTTTGTGCTCCAACTAGTCGGAATAAATTTTTTTTGCAAATTTCCATGAACACTCGAGAAATGTGACGCTTTACAAAAGAAAAACACCCACCCAAACACACATTTTTCTCATTTTTCTCATTTTCAATCCATTTTCTCGGAGGCACAGAGAAAATTTGGGAAAAGAGAAGCGAGAGGGGAACAGCGGCAGGGTTTTTTTAAGAAAAGATAAGCCATTTCACAGACTTCTTTCTCGCTTTCCTTATTGACTAATAGTCCGGATTTATTTTGAAAAAGGCAAGTTTTAAATTTAGGACTTTTTTCTTTTTTTATTAATAAAAATTCAAATTTTTTTAATCTTAGATGGTTTATTTTAAAAGAATAAGCTTAAAAAATGGAAATAATAGGCGTTCATTGTGCAAGAAACGTTAGAAATGATGAAATCACAGAAAAAAAAACTTTTGTACTAGTCGCGATTTGAAAAATTTGATTTGCAAAAATAAAAACAAATTTCTCATTTTTTATTCTTATTGTTTTGCTGTATCATTTCCGATTCGATTTCGTAATCGCTATTTCCAGCAAAGATTTCCCAATACACCTATTTACTAACGGTTTATCACCGAAATGACGGGCTTCTTTCGATTTTTAAACCCAAAAAAGGTTGCTGATAAGAGAATGGGGAAAATTGAAAGTTATTTTATTGATTTTATTCAAATCGGATCGATGGGCATCTTATAGTCAGAAAAATAGCTAACAATAAGCAATTTAAAAAGAAAAAAGCATTAGAGAGCACGTCGTAAGGTTAAAAGTTCAAATTCCAAATTAGAAACCTTTTATATCAGTGTCCTATGCCAGATGGCAAGTGGATTGCGCGTTCGCACAAAGAACACCTCTCTAGTCACTTTATAGTGGTTTTTCTTTTGCTTTGTAGATGGTACAAAAAGAAATCAGCTGGAAATTTGTACCGGGGGTTTTTAGGGTCAGTGAATCGTATGAAGCTATCCATTTACAGTTGTCTCTCTCTAGAAGGAACCAAAAAATTCTTCCGTTATACAGGGTGTTCAAAAAAAAAGCCAGTTCCCTTTAATTTTCCAAAAAATTTCTGGTGGCTCTTGATGGTCGTTGTAGTGCCAAAGAGAATACCGTATTTTCTCTAATAGTAAATTCTCGCCACGTTGAAACACGGCATCCCGTCCGATCTGCCAAGGTAAGCAGCTCGGTTGGTCTGAGTTGCGTTTCGGTTTTGATTGAGCTCGGTTGGTTGCTGGTTCGGAGTTATCCCAAGCGCAGAGCAATGAAACGCACCGTGCCCGTCAAATTAAACTACGGGTTGGCTTGCTGCATAAACTGCAGCCATTAAAAACGCTTACCGTATTTTCTCTAATAGTAGTGCACCCTGAGCGTCGTCTAAATTGCTCGAAATCTCAAAAACCGCTTATCAGAACCTATCGATGTGGGGTCGGAAAATGTAGCTGACGATCAGATCTAGTGGGGGTTTGAGTGTTGAGCTTCTGCAAAAGCTTGGAAACCGTAAAATAGTCATCAACTCGGCTCGCTGGGGTGCACTACTATTAGAGAGAATACGGTATTCTCTTTGGCACTACAACGATCATCAGGAGCCACAAGATATTTTTTGGAAAAGTAAAGGGAACTGGCTTTTTTTTGAACATCCTGTAGAGTGCCGTGCTTAGCGTCGACTTAGCTTAGCTTAGCGTCAACTTAGCTTAGCGTCGACTTAGCTTAGCTTAGCGTCGACTTAGCTTAGCTTAGCGTCGACTTAGCTTAGCTTAGCGTCGACTTAGCTTAGCGTGGACTTAGCTTAGCCAAAATTCCATTCCGTTATATAGAGTTCCGTAAGAGAGAGAGTCGTCTGTAAATGATTCTTCCACGACTCATTTCAAACTCAATATCATTGCTTTTGATCGAACCTAAACCGTGCAATAAGATTGTAGCAAAGAACAAGAAAGAGAATCTATAGAAATCGTCTAGTTTTTAAAAAGATAAAGTCAAATTTTTTGATTAAATTGACATCCTGTAAACGATTCACTAGTTGCCCATAAATTTCTTATCGCTTCTTATCCCGTTCTCTCGATCTCTTCACACTCATAAACTGCTACGATATTTTCCCAAAAATTTTCTTGCGATAAATATTAGAAGCTTCATAGGAGGCATGAGATTTCAATGAACTCATAAAAATAAGGAAAAATTCTTTTTATTTGGAAATTAAACAGTAAAAGATCGATCAAAGATTGGCCATCAACACTCGAAAATCGCTCCTTGCCTCAATCTCGCCAGAAAAAAGTGTTTAATGTAAAATGGGATTTTCAGGAGATGAAAAATTTGACTGTCGATCTACACAAAGCCGCCAAACAAAGTTGACCATAACACAGAAAAATGCCCGATCAAGAGTTCAATGCTTTTCAAGAGGTACTTAAAACGGATTCTTCCAACTATAGATACAAAGCTATAACTACAATCAATAACTATAACCTATAACTATAACCTATAACCTATACCTCTAAATACTATTAGGTTGAAAGCAAGTTCTCGAAAAAAGTTTGCACGTGATTTCTCAAAAACAAACCCATGAATTCTTTTCATTTTTTGATAAACTTGACTATTTCAAAAGATTTTTGATAAAGCCTTCGCACGCTAGCCTTCGCACTAAGTCCAAGCCTAAGCCTGAGCCTGAGCCTGAGCCTAAGCCTAAGCCTAAGCCATAACTATAACCTAACCTATAACTACAACTCAAAATACTATTAGGTTGAAAAGAAAGTTCTCGGAAAAAGTTTGTACGGTGATTTCTCAAAAACAAAACCATGAATTCTTTTCATTTTTTGATAAACTTGACTATTTCAAAAGATTTTTGATAAAAAAATCAGAGTAAGCTTCAGGTAAAAAATAAGAGATTTCTCCAGCTGAAGTGACTTGGTCACTTTCTGAGTGGCCAGCCTTTTGACTAGTTTAATGTTAATGAATAGGCAATGAATCCCATTCAAAACCTAAAATCAAGTACTTAAAATAGGGAAAATTTGTGATTAAGGCAAATTTAATCTAATAAAGCATTAGATTAAATTAGAAGTTTAAAGCTTAAATCTTTAAAGCAACTTTTCAGAAGCACCTATTTTAGCAAACACTCAGTGCCAAGAAGATGACACGAAAAGATTATTTTTCTGAGATACAGCATCTCTGTCAAAAACTTGTTGGCCAAAAATAGAGATGATAGAGAGTATTGCTAGCTTTACTAGGTGCTAGCTTTACTAGGTGCTAGCTTTACTAGGTGCTAGCTTTACTAGGTGCTAGCTTTACTAGGTGCTAGCTTTATTAGGTGCTAGCTTTACTAGGTGCTAGCTTTACTAGGTGCTAGCTTTATTAGGTGCTAGCTTTATTAGGTGCTAGCTTTATTAGGTGCTAGCTTTACTAGTTGCTAGCTTTACTAGTTGCTAGCTTTACTAGTTGCTAGCTTTACTAGTTGCTAGCTTTACTAGTTGCTAGCTTTACTAGTTGCTAGCTTTACTAGTTGCTAGCTTTATTAGGTGATAGCTTTATTAGGTGATAGCTTTACTAGGTGCTAGCTAGGTAAAGCTAGCATTTATGATAGCTTTACCTCATAAGGAATCCCTTTTCTCGTGCAAAAAGCTAAATTTAAGCTGGAAAATAATCATCCCTCAGAAATCTCAAATTTTAAGGGACTGCACTCATTTTTTTACTAGTAATTTCTTGGAATCCACTTGTAAATAATAGAACAAAATGTTCGGGAATTGGTGGATTCGTTTTTGAAGAAATTCTAGTCAAAATTTTTTCGAGAACTTTCCAACCTAATATAACTAACTCTAAACCCGATAGTTTTCTTCGTTTTAGACTCGCATCAATGAAAACGCGGGCAATTTCTCTGAAATCTTCGTCAGCTGGGCTAATTTTGACGTGAGTTCATTAAAAATAGCATTCATTGTTAGATCTAGATTTTGAAAAGCCTTTAATTTAAGCTTTTTAAGCTTTTAAAGCTTCAGTTTAAGCTTTCTAAGCTCTTTAAGCCTCAATTTAAGCTTTTTCAGCTTTAAGCTTAAGCTTTTAAAGCTTAAAAAGCTTAAATTGAGGCTTAAAGAGCTTTAAAGGTTTAATTGAAGCTTTAATTTAAGCTTTTAGGCTTTAAGCTTTAATCTTAAGCTTTTAGAGCTTCAATTAAACTTTTAAAGCTTTGATTTAAGCTTTCTAAGCTCTTTAAGACTCAATTTAAGCTTTTTAAGCTTTAATTTAAGCTTTTCAAGCTTCTTAAGCTTTAATTTAAGCTTTTTAGGCTTTAAGCTTTAATCTTAAGCTTTTAAAGCTTCAATTAAACTTTTAAAGCTTTGATTTAAGCTTTCTAAGCTCTTTAAGACTCAATTTAAGCTTCTTAAGCTTTTTAAGACTCGATTTAAGCTTTTAAGCTTTAATTTAAGCTTTTAGGCTTTGAGCTTTAAGCTTAAGCTTTTTAAACGTCAATTTGAAAGTGAACGGTAGTTTGAAGTTGAAAGTGTAAGCTTTTAAGTTAAAATCAGAAATTTCATATATTTTCTATAATATATTTTCAGGAAAATGATTTAAATGTCGAACGAGCAGAATCAGTGGTTTGTTTATTGATCTTTTAACACATTTGCACATTCATTTCTACATTTAAATTAATTCGATTTCGCAGAAAGTTCTCGACAACTTTGTACTAGTTTTCAAGAGGAGATTCGGGGCTATCGAATGACTAGAATAGTTTAGTTTATCTTTGAATTTACACCAAATTATCAGTAGAACTGTAACGACTACGCGACTTTACGCCGACGTTAAAGTTTGAAAGCATTCTAGGTGGCCGATGATGCAGTGGCTGCCCGACATATCTCGATCAATTTAGACGCAATCCATTGTTTCACTGCTTTGGTTTGTTGAGAAATTTTATAGAAACAGAGATTTTCCAGAGGATTCAGACAACTTTTGGAAATTTCGATGTGGCACATCATTTCTTTCGTATCTTTGTGACGATCGAACAATGGACGGTTGGTTTTTGAAATTTTTCTTTCAGGTTCTAACAAGTTTTCATAAACTCAGCATAAAGGTGGATAATTTGAAGCTTTTCTTCAGATTTTTTCGTTCTACTTACTTGTGATTTCATTAAATTCACCGTTTTATTTATGAATTGAAACATAATTACGTAAAGAAAGATTACTTGGTTTTCGGAGTTGGTGTTGGGTGTTGGGCTATCCAATTTAAATATTCTTGACAACATTGGATGCACCAAGTCTTTCGCTATCGATTGGTACAAAAACTATTTAAATTGGGCAGCTCAATACCAAGAAATTCGAGCTGAAAGCTGGATCGTCAATGGAAGAAGGTTAGATTAGCAATCTAACTTTGAGCTGAAATATCTTGGTGTTGGGCTATCCAATTTAAATATTCTTGGTATCATTAGATGCGTCAAGTCTTTCGCTATCGATTGGTACCAAAACTATTTAAATTGGGCAGCCCAATACCAAGAAATTCGAGCTGAAAGCTGGATCGTCAATGACGAAGGGGCGGGGCAAGTACAGGGTGCGTCATAATTATTGCAACAAGAGTTCAAAGACCGTTTGTGATGTCAAGAATGTGATGTCATGGGCGTGTAAAGCCAATAACAATCAAAATTGGACCTTCATACAAGATGGAGCTCCCGCTCACACGAAGAAGACGGTTCAGGATTGGTGTGTGGCCAACTTCCCCTCAGTGATCACCAAGGATGAATGGCCTCCAAACTCACCGGATCTCAATGTGATGGACTTTTCCAGTTGGGCAATCTTAGAGGCTAATGTCTGCTCTCGAAAACACAAAGGATGATTTGACCAAAGGATGGAAGGCGACTCCTCAAGATGACATTCGGGCCGCAGTGGAGGCATATCCGAACCGATTAAGGGCTGTTATCAAGGCTGTTATCAAGGCAAAAGGCGGTCATATCGAATGATCTCTTGTTTCCTTATTTGTTACTGTTAAATAAAGCTATTTCTGTTTAAAAATCTTCTTCCAGTGAAACTTCTTGGTGTGCAATGCCTTGAGTATCTTGTTGCAATAATTATGACCCACCCTGTATAAAAGGTCCGTTGCCCCGCTTCCTTTGCCATTAGCAATCTAACTTTCAACTCGAATATCTTGATGTTGGGCTATCCAAAGAAACATAATGACGAAAAGAAAGATTACTTATTTTTAGGAGTTATCCACCTTTCAGAAAAAACCCTTTATTTGCGAGGATCCATTCAATTTAACATTAAAAATCCAATTTCAGGGATATCCCGATCAACCATTGGACAATCCAAACGCATTGAGGGTAAACCTTTTTTGTACACCTTTAAACTTTTAAACCTTTAAACCTTTAAAACAACTCCTTTTCAGATTCAACCAAGTAATCAAATTGTACACGCTGAATCTCTCGAGCCGAGTCTTGCTGATTGGATGTCTGATTTATCGGTTGGATACATAAAAAGTTCTTTAACTCCTACTAATGACGATTATTTTTGCTTTCAATTCGTTTTTAAGGATTTTGTTATTCATTTCGCAGAAAGTTCTTGATAACTTTATACTAGTTTTCAAGAGGAGATTCGGGGCTATCGAATGACTACAATAGTTTAGTTTATCTTTGAATTGGCACCAAATTATCAGTAAAACAGTGACGACTACGCGACTGTACGCCCAAAATACTTGCGAATGGGTTATCGGACGTTTGATACACGCACCGCCTCTTTTCCCTTTAGCAAGCTAACTTTAAGCTGAAATATCTTGGTGTTGAGCTGTTCAATTTAAATATTCTTGATAACATTGGATGCGCCAAGTCTTTCTCTATCGATTGGTACAAAAACTATTTCAATTGAACAGCCCAACACCAAGATATTTGAGCTCAAAGTTGGCTTGCCAATGGAAGAAGGCGGGCGTTTATCAAATGACTCAAAATCTTGCGAATGTATTAATGTGGGTTTAGGAAGAGAATGATGCCTTGCTTGACGCACCAATCGCCGAGGAAAGGCTACAAGAAAACATTGACTTGGTAAGAAATTGTTGACTAAGGTTTAATGTGAATGTGTTTTCATTGTGTCTAAACGTTTAATGTTTTTGATTTAATGGGTTTTCTAGAATTTCTTTCTAGAGCTCAAAGTTGGCTTGCTAAAGGGAAAAGGGGCGGGGCGCGTATAAAAGGTCCATCGCCCCGCTTCCTTTGCCATTAGCAATCTAACTTTGAGCTCAAATATCTTGCTGTTTGGTTGTCCAATTGAAATATTCTTGATATCATTAGATGCACCAAGTTTTTCTCTGTTGATTGGTACAAAACCGATTTAAATTGAACAGCTCAACACCAAGATGTTTGAGTTCAAAGTTGGCTTGCCAATGGAAGAAGGCGGCGATAAAGAAAGCATTATCAAATGTCTCAAAATCTTGCGAATGTGTTAATGTGGGTTTAGGAAGAGAATGATGGCTTGCCTGCCGCACCTATCGCCGAGGAAAGGCCACAACTACAAGAAAACATTGACTTGGTAAGAAATCGTTGACTAACGTTTAATGTGAATGTGTTTTCATTGTGTCTAAACGTTTAACGTTTTCAAGTTTTCAATTAATGGGTTTTCTAGAATGCTCTATACTAGACATTTGCATTTTCGGTCCGTCGATAGGTGTACAACGGAAATACACATCTTAAGTCTTTTAGAATCAACCTTTTTATTCTTTTCGATCAACTAATTAATGTTTTTTTTTACTGTTGGATAGCATTTTACATCTATCTAATGGTGAAAAAAGGTTTGAAAAATATTTTAAAAGCCTCAAGTCTTGAATTTCCGTTGTACATCTATTGACGAAGGGACTGACTGAAAACGGACATGTCTACTCTATATTGTAATCTTATATATTTAGGTGCAAAATGATCTGCCAGAACTCGATGAGGATAATTTGGTGGCGTTCGATGAAGGATGGTTTGACGATGATGAGGTGAAACAAATAAAAAAGCCATTTTGCCATTTTGTAAGCCATTTTGTAGAGAAATGATAGATCTTTTTGATTATACAAACAATATGGAGCTATTCGTTCCTAGGTATAAACGGATGTGGACTAGAATTTGGGTTAAGTTAAAGAGAGTGGATCCCTTTTGATATCCCGCCATCTCTAACACCCCGACAACCCAACTCAACTCCTCCAACGTATTAGAGGGGAGTCCCTGTGAAATGATCGACCTGAACTGCAGTTGCATAGAAGATATGTATCTTTATTTACAGTAGTACAATAAGACAAATAGATTGCAAATGAGTGTAAGGGGAAGGGGGGACTCCAAATGAGAGTCTCACTTGAGAGTCTCCTAGGCTCCTCACTTGTCCTCCTAGGCTCCTCACTGTCCTTCTAGGCTCCTCACTGTCCTCCTAGGCAATCCCAAGGAGCGCCCCTTCTCGGCAATAAAAGGGATAAGCACAGGGGAGGACACATTTGCATAAGAATAGACAAATCATTCAATAATAACAATAGTAACTAAAATATCAGTTTGACTCGGAGCTGACAGAGCTTTTATTCCAGTAAAATCTTTTAAAGTCAGCACCATTTTATACTCGTCAACATTTTAGCCGCTCGATCTACCAGTGCAACAATTCAGCTTTGTCGCCAGATGGCAATACTGGGTGGTTGGTTTAGTCTTCAAAAAAAGAACTCTTCTGAATAACTGTAAACAATTAAAATCCTATTGAAATCAATTTTAGATTCCGCCGGTACCCGAATAGAAAGTTGATCGAAAGAAGATCGGTTGTGACAAAAATTTTGTGATGTCAGGTTTAAATATCGGTTCAGAAATTGCTTTTACAGGTATTGGATTGGTGAATTGAAAACTGCCGGCTATTTCGCGGGACTCGCAGATAAAAAAACAACAGCATTGAACCAGCTGAAAGGGCGTTTGGTTACTTCAACATTTCCTCAAATTATTGCGAAAAAATTATGCTTCCAGCTTTTTATTTTTTGGTATTTTTCTTCACTTCTTCTATTGTACTCGACAATCTGCCACCGGGACATACTCGTCATGTCATGAGTTAGTAAAGCTGCTTCATGAGTTCCTAGTAAAGCTAGCACCTAGTAAAGCTGCTTCATGAGTTCCTACAAGAGCACAGTGCAGGCTTGGCAGCTGCTAATATTAAAAAGATGTATGAGGAGGACCCACCTTCCGAAAGAACGTTTCGAGTATGGTTTGCCAAGTTTCGATCTGGGGACAAATCTTTGAAAGATGCAGAGGACCGGTGGAGCGGCACCCCAACTGGATGATTCCAAATTACTCGAACTCATTACCAACGACCATCGAGTATCATCGCGTGAATTGGGAGAAGAGTTAGGGGTTGATCATGTTACAGTGCTAAATCACCTTCATACCCATGGATTTAAATCGAAATTTGGGACTTGGGTGCCCTCACTGACCCCCAGAAGTGGCAGCGCGCCTCCATCAGTGCCGTCCATCTCTCATGATACGAAAGGAAATCCTTTCTTTCTCGAATTGTGACAGGAGATGAGAAATGGGTTTCATCTGTGAACTTTCGGAGCAAGCGGCAATGGGTGGGGCCAGGCGAGAAACCCGAAAGTGACCCCAAGCCTGATTTGCACCAGAAGAAGTTTATGCCCTGCGTTTTCTGGGATATGGAGGGGAGTGGTGTACTGAGAGTTGCTGGATCGCAAGACGACCGTTAATGCAATCAAATACAGTGAACAGTGAATGAATCCCTGAAGAAGAATAGGCCCTCCAAGTCAAAGAACGTGGAGCGAGAAGTACATCAAAGATGCAGAGGGCCGTGGAGCGAGAAGTGAAGAAAAATACCAAAAAATAAAAAGCTGAAAGCATAATTTTTTTGCAATAATTTGGGAAAATGTTGAAGTAACCAAACGCCCTTTCAGCTGGTTCAATTGTTCAATGCTGTTGTTTTTTTATCTGCGAAATAGCCGGCACTTTTCAATTCACCAATCCAATAGAATTTTTCCTATTTCTTTATTCTTTTGTTTGTATTTCGTATTCTTTTATTTTATTGGGTTGTCCAGTTATGAATGCGCGTTTCTACTATTTTGTAAATTTATTGTTGGTTAAAGTAGCCAGGGCAAGTCTTAACAGCTATCCGGTCGAGAGTCGGATAAAAGCAGGCTTTGAAATCAAAAAAAAAATTGCTTAAAAAGCTTTCTTAGGTTTTAAATTGATTCTTTCTCGAATAAAGCGCTTAAATCGTGTCCAGTGTACCGTTTAGCTCATCATTTGCCTCTTCTATTGGGTTGTCCAGTTATGAATGCGCGTTTTTACGATTTTGTTAGTTTCTCAAGATATCGGACAGATGTATATATCATTCGAAAGCTGAAGATCTCCTCTACATTTTGAAATAAAAAAGTTTTTGAATTCATTCAGCTTTTTGGGAAATTGACTGCACAAAGGGAGAGATCGTTTTCGAAAAAACCCATTTCAGCTTAGCTATTCCTCAAGTTTTATGGTGTAAAATAACCGCCCAGAAAAGAAAAGAAAAGTAAAGATGATCTGAAATTGTTATATTTTAAAAAAAGTTGTATTGATATATCTATTGGCCAAACATCAAACAGTTAACTCAATTTGAGCGGAGCCAAAATTTGATCCAAAGGCACATTCCATTTTTTGGCCACCTCTTCTTCTGTGCAGTCAATTTTCCCAAAAAGCTGAACAAATTCAAAAGCTTTTTATATCAAAATGTAGAGGAGATCTTCAGTTTTCGAATAATACTCATATATATCTTTTTCTTGATTTCGGTATCTTGAGAAATTTACCAAATAGTAAAAAGCGCGCATTCATAACTGGACAACTCAATAAAATTTTTTTTTTTGCACATATTTGTATTCACTTTTCTTTGTAGAATCGCTAGAGATCTGATCAAAAAAAAATAGCCAAATATCGCCTCACTTTTCGTTATGGATTTTCTTGTGCATATGTAATCAGAGTAAATCTTAAAATGCAATTAGGCTCAAAACGGAACACTGTAAACCCTCAGATGTACACTTTTTTTAATGTTTATATAAAATTTGTCTTTTTTGCACATCGAATGCACATTCATATCGAAAAAAAAAAACGTTTAAACGATCACTTTTTAAAATCAAAAATTTCAGAGCACAGAAAAAGTACAGAAATTTCAAAAAAAGCAAAAAGCAAAGCAAAATTTTAGACGATTTTCTTTGATCTTTTCAATTCCTCGAGATTTTCCAGCTGAAACGCTTGCGGAGTGAGAGTGATCGTGTTGGCGCTTTGTGTTGGCTCGGGAGTGGTTGAAAAATCGGTGACTGCAGTGGTTGCAGTGGTTGGTAAGTGCTCTTCAATCGTCGATCTTGTATTCAATTCGATCTTCGGATTTATCGTCACCAGTGTTGGCCGATTTGTGGAAGGAGATTGAGTGAAAGCATAAGAATTCCCAGGCGTAACGGTTGGCCGAGTGTAAATCTCGTCGGGTCTCAAGCTGTACAAACGGGAAAGCGATGAAACCGGCAGCTCGTTGTAGCCGGTTTGCGTAGGTTGACGGGTTTTGTATTGGCCGTATGGTGTTCCGATTGTCGTCGAATATCCATTTATGTAGGGATTTCCGGGATTTTTGTAGGGCAGCAGTTGCCCGTACGCCGAGCCTTGGATTGAGGGCAATTGGGGACGCTGAGGACGGGCGATTGCCGGATAGCTGGCACTGTGATCGACAGCTGATTGTCCGTATGCGTCTGAAAATTCTCATTTTTTATTTGTCACTATAATACTATAGTTGGATTTGTCGATACTGGATATTGTAAAGGCAAATCGGGAGGAGGAGAAATTGGCCTTGGATCTACAGCGGCTACTAGAAGAAGCAGTTCAGGGCAGTACTGTAAGCTGGGTCCTACTACATTTTGGCCTCTAATTAGACTAGTTAGAATTAGAGAGGGATACTGTAGACCAGCTCTTGCTAAAGCACAGGTTACTGTAGTCGATGTTACTGTACCACTGAAGGAACGCTAACTAGGGAACGTCGCCAGGTGCCTGTGAGCTTTTAAAACGAGACGAACTCCATCCAAGATTGGGCCAGATTAAAAAAATCAAAAGAAATTGACCGAGGATCGAACCAGAGCGCTTTGGATCCCTAGTCGGCATCTTTGATGATGAATCACGTCCCTACTTAGAGCTGTTGCGAAAAATGAACTCAAGTAAGGAGGCCTAAAACTTGTAACCCAGATATGTCGCGTTATAGGCATCCAGGGCAAAAACTGAAAACGGAAAACGACGTTCCCTAGTAAGGCTGAGTTTTATCGTACCTTTGGCCACAAGTTTTAATAATTGTGATAAGTTTTACGTTGCCGTAGCTTTCAAATAAATGTGGACTTATTTTTATTATATATCATTTGAAAGCTGTGAATCTTCTCTCCAAGATAAGCTAAAAAAATTCTGAATATGTCTAAATTTTCGACCAATTAATTGGTAGACTCAACAAAATGAATAGCTCTAATCGACCTAATCTGCCAGCACTCGATGAGGATAATTTGGTGGCGTTCGATGAAGGATGGTTTGACGATGATGAGGTGAAACAAATAAAAAAAGCCATTTTGCCCCCGGGTACAAATTTACTGCTGAATACTTCTTTTTTGCATCACTTACAAAGCAAAAGAAAAATCACTGTAGAGTGGCTGGCGAGGTGTTCTTTGTGCGAACGCGCAATCGCTTGCTATCTGGCAAACCGCTCCGGTATATGATGCTTCCCTTTTTGAATCCGTAAAGGGAAAGGAGCGATGAGCGACTGAGCCGGCATCTTCGTTTTAGGCGTCAAATCCCCAAATCCCCATGCCACTATGCCCAGTAAAGCACCCGTAAATGTTTTTGAAAGTTATGGAAAAACCTTAATAAATAGCTAATTACTTCTTTAAAAACACTAGAATAATCATAAAGAAGTGTTTTTCGGAAGCTTTCCAAAAAAAGTAAAAAATCTGGAGCCAAGCGGAATTGACCCCGTGAGCAAAGTTGGGGTAGGCTCCGGTGTTCGCGCACTATCCCCCACACCAACGCTGCCTCGAATGCCCAACGGCGTGACGCCCCCTTATAGGTGAGGTCGCGGTTAGCCGTGTTTTCGGTGTCACTATGCCCAAAATTTTGGGATCAATTTTTGCCTCAAATTTGGCTATATTTTTGATGCTAATTCTACATTTTGTTAAGCTATTATGGTAATTTTCAACTCATTTCGGAATTACGCAGTTTTCAAGCCAAGATTACGGTATTCACAGTCGAGCTACGTCAAGTCAAACCTTGCTTAACAGGAGCCACCGCATACTGTCCATAGCTTCCACGATTTCCACCCATCACTTGTCCGTTTCGTATTTGTGCCCTCTGTTGATAGTAGAATGACTCTTAAAACGATAGGGTTACGGTAGAATGTTCATCGATAGCTTGTTAGCTAGCTTAGAATCAAAGTTTCAGTAAAACAAAATCAGTAACCCGTTTCTTTCTGCAATCCGTACGTCAATCGATTTTTGTTGTTAGTGATTGGTCGAGCAAAGTTCAGCATTTCATTTCTCATCAAATTGTTCCTCTAAAAAAATTTAGTTTAACAGCTTTGATTAACAGCTTTGATTAACAGCTTTGATTAACAGCTTTGATTAACAGCTTAATAGCTTAACAGTTTTGATTAACAGCTTTGATTAACAGCTTCGGCTTAACAGCTTCAGCTTAACAGCTTTGATTAACAGCTTAATAGCTTAACAGTTTTGATTAACAGCTTTGATTAACAGCTTTGATTAACAGCTTAACAGCTTAACAACTTTTGATTCTAAAAAATATTTACCAAAAAATCTCTCGACTTTTGAGATTGAAAGCCATTTTGATAGCTTGTTGAATGCTAAATGAAAGAAGTCTTTTTTTAAAAAACAATCTTTTTTTTAAACCCGAAAATCATTGCTAAACATCGCTTGACTTTCATCGGGATGACCTCTTGAAATCACTAAATTTTGAAATGTTTTTTAAGTAACTTTTAAGTAAGTAAGTTTTAAGTAAGTTTTAAGTAACTGAAGTAACTTTTAGGTAACTTTTAGGTAACTTTTAAGTAACTTTTAAGTAACTTTTAAGTAACTTTTAAGTAACTTTTAAGTAATTTTTAAGTAACTTTTAAGTAACTTACTCAATCCAAATCGTTGAAACTGATTTGGGAGGGTATTTCTAGAAATTGATGAATTAAAAGAAAAATTTGAAACAAAATTTGAAAGAAAAATTCACTCACCCTTCACAGAAAATTCGAGTTGTTAGCAGGAGGAAAATGAAAAGCATCTTTTATAATAATCTCTAGGGAATCTCTAGAATAACAATCGAATAATCGTTAAGTTAAGAAAACGAAATGCTCACTTCACTTTATTATTTCCTTTGTCGTTGAACAAAAATTGTGAAAAACTCGAGCTCAACTCAGAACCAAAAAAAACTGAAAATGAAATTTTTGGAAACTGAAAATGAAAATGAAAATGAAATTCGGAAATTTCCCTTTAAGGGAAATCCAATGCTAAGCTTTTTGTTGAAATTTTAAAACCCTTTTTGCTTTTAGAATCTTTTTTTCAATACTTTTTATACAAAGGATTTTTGCATGGCGAGAGAAAAGAAAGCTTCTTTTCTTCTTCTTCAACAGATTTGACCTTCATCGACAATGACACCACAAATCCAATTGTTGCTGAAGGCAGCATAAAGAAAAGTTTGAAATTATTGAAATTCAAAAGTTATTTTCATTTTGCGGGACTAAACGAGCTAAAGGCATCGATTTAAACTACAGTATGGTTACAAGCTACAGAAAAGTATCGTTACAAGGTTGTAACATTGATTTAAGAAACTGATTTCTATTTCTTGCCTTTATTTCTTGCCAAAGGATTATTTTTTCTTAATTTGAATGCTTTTTTATATGAAAAAGTCTCTGAAGAAAGCCTGAGCGGAAATTCCACAAAATACCCTGTGGGCCACCGTGGAAAGTTATCCAAAGCGTCTTAAAGCCGTTATCAAGAATAAAGGTGCCCATATTGAATAATTTGTTATGTAGCAGTAGAGTCAAGGACATTATCAAAATCAACGCTGAACGTTGATGCAAGACGGCGCCCCAGCGCACAAAGCAAAAAAGACTCAAGAGTAGTGTCGAAACAATTTGCCGGACTTCATTCCCGCCAATGAATGGCCAGCTAATTCGCCCGACCTCAATGCTATGGATTTCTGTGTTTGGGCAATTTTGGAGCAAAAAACATGCACAACAAAACGTTGAAACGTTGAAAGTCTGAAAAAGTCTCTGAAGAAAGCCTGAGCGGAAATTCCACAAATAATTAGCACAAAATCAGTTCTTGACTCAAAACATTGAAATATCAAAAAGAATTCTGGAAAATAGGGCAAAATATCTACCGTAAATACTGTAATAGTACCCCACCCCTCTCGTACAGTCGCGTAGTCGCAAAAGTTTTTTAGTATTTTTAGTATTTCATTTTTTTCAAAGTGCTCGTACTTTCAAAAAATGCGTCTTTGGTATGAAAAAATAGCTGAAATTCAGGGCTATTTTTTGATACCTAAGCGCGCATTGTAGCATAAAGCAGTGTCGTGAAAAACTCGTTCAAAGCTAGACTATGCAACACTTCGCACCGTCATTATGGGGGTGGGGTACTATTACAGTATTTACGGTAACTAAGTTGCCCGTTTAAACATGCTAAACATTGTACAATAACACAGCAAATTCAACAATGAATGTGTGATTTGACAGGTTTAATGTTATCTAAATTTTTTGTTATTTTTTACCATTTTTAGCTTTCACTTTTCTCTCAAGAATCCCCGATTCACTTCCGAATAAAAAAGCTTCTCTAACTTTCTTAACTTCTCTAATTAACTTCTCTAACTCTCTAACTTCTCTAACTTTAAAAAAAGAAACACTCACCACGAAAAATCGCTCAATCGAAACGATCCTTACAAAGAGAAAGGTCCGAATTGACTGTGGAATTTTGACTGAGAATAAGTCAAAGTATGGTATGGGTAATTCGGACCCGTTGATTCCTAATCTGAAGCCAGTTTTTGCGCAGATATCACCAATCGCAAGGCATCTGGCAAACAAATTTTAGGTCTATATAAGCGGCAGGTGACGCGCCGATTGGTTGCCGATTGGTTAAGTGCACGTTTCCTAGTCTGATGCTCTCTTTTTGTCTCGGATTTGGATCCGTTCTCTTGGAAAATTTTTGCTTTTTTGTTACTTACTTTTTAAAAACAATTGATTGATTGATTTATTTTATTTTCTGTACAATTATTTACTAATTTCAAACTTTAGGATGCCTGCTAGTATAGACAGGATAATAGTTTGCTCCGAGTGGAGTACCGATCATAGACATGGTAATGGTTTGCTCCGAGAGGAGTACCGAGCATAGATATGGTAATGGTTTGCTCCGAGTGGAGTACCAAGCATAGACATGGTAATGGCTCCGAGAGGAGTACCGATCATAGACATGGTAATGGTTTGCTCCGAGAGGAGTACCGATCATAGACATGGCAATGGTTTGCTCCGAGAGAAGTACCGATCATAGATATGGTAATGGTTTGCTCCGAGTGGAGTACCAAGCATAGACATGGTAATGGCTCCGAGAGGAGTACCGATCATAGACATGATAATAATTTTCTCCGAGAAGAGTACCGATCATTACCATTATCACAGACATGATAATGCTTTGCTCCAAGAGGAGTACCGATCTTCAAGCACATTATTCGTGTGAATAAATGTATCTTTATCAGTGAACGTTTGTTGAAGTTGAGCCTTCCTTGTCGATTACTTTTATTTCAAACAATTTCATAAACAAAACAAAGATATGTACAACAGAATTAGAGTAATTGTGAGGAAAAGTTTGAAAAGATGAAAAGATTTGAGGTTAAAGTGAGATTTTCAGTTCGAAATTTGAAGATCTAATGATGAGTGGCTCCGCATTTCTTTCCGTGATCTCCGTGAGCCTCATCGTGGCATCCCTCTAAAATTGATCCATTTTACAAGACTTTTTTTTATGGGCTACAGTTTAGAAGTTCATATTTCCGAATGCTCACCCGTGTGGCAAGCCTTTTTTGCAATCTTTGCACGTACAATGTTCACACTTGCACTCGCCCTGAGCACAATGGCATTCCTTGCCTTCTCCGCAGTCTGAAAATGAATTCATTTGTAGAATAGTAAATTTTAATGATTAGAAAAGTAAAGTGATTTGTAGAAAAGTAAATTTTAATGATTTTAATGATTTTAATGCTTTTTTTATAGTTTGTGTTAATGTTTAACTTAACGCTTTCTTCTTTTCCCACGTGTATCTCCTTTTTCTTCTATGGAAGGGTACCGGGTACAGCTCCGGAAGGGTACCGGGTACAGCTCCGGAAGGGTACCGAGTACAGCTCCGGAAGGGTACCAGATCGGTGGTAGAGCATCTGTCGAGGGTTCAATCCCCTCTCTCAAACTCCTAGAGTTCAAGTCCCCTTGCTCCAATTTTTTAGCCATTTTTTACTTTACTTTATTAACTTAGTGAAGTTCTTCTCATAGTCATTTTGCGTTTTATTTTTAGTTTAGAAGGAATTTAGGATTAGCAACGGTAGATTTTTAATCAGATCTTTCATTGATCGATCATTTCAATCATTTTAGAATAGTTTTAACTTTAGACATAGCTTTTAGACACTTTAGACAGCTGCAACGCCCGTAAGTCAACCCTCAGTTCAGATTTAGTGGAATCATTTCTACCGTAAATACTGTAATAGTACCCCACCCCCATAATGACGGTGCGGAGTGTTGCGTAGTCTAGTTTTGAACGAGTTTTTCTCGACACTGGTTTAGGCTACAATGCGCGCTTAGGTATCAAAAAATAGCTCAGATTCAGGGCTATTTTTTGATACCTAAGCGCCATTGTAGCATAAACCAGTGTCGAGAAAAACTCGTTCAAAGCTAGACTACGCAACACTCCGCACCGTCATCATGGTGGTGGGGTACTATTACAGTATTTACGGTATGTCGATTGAGAATGAGAATCCTCTTGGAATCCCCTCTTAGAATCTCTTAAAAGCCTTAGAATCCTAAATATGATTTTGATCTTGAGATTGATGCGAAGAATTCTGTTAAACATTGAGCTAAACTTTTACTAATAAGAACTCAAAGAAGATTTTGTTGAATAAGAACAGAAAAAAACTCACTGCAGTGGGTCATTTTGTGAGAAGAGAAGAGAAGAGAAGAGAGTGGTTCTGGTCGAGTTTTGGAGTGATCCAAATTCTGCTCACATTCGCCAAACTATTTATATCCTAGGGTACGATAAGAATAGTTTTCTTTTCTAATATTTCTCTTTTTCTCTTTTTCAACGGTTTTCCGAATGGCGAGCAGAGAACTCTCAAACACGTGTCCGATAAGAGATTCAAAAAAGAAAAGAATTTCTAACGACTCTTTTGTTTTCCAAAAAAATACTTTATAGGAAAGAAAAAGAAAGAGATCTGCACGGATTTCTTGATAAGACTAGAGGAATTTTATTTGTACACAATTTTTTTTTGAGCCTATCCATGGGCCTTTCAAGGACAAAAAATTTGGAAAAATAAAAATTTCAAGTCAAATTGAAAGCTAAGAAAATTCCCTTGTTTTCCCGGTTCAAACCAAAAATTTTTTTTTGTTACCAAATTGATAAGTAATTGGCTATTTTTAGTGCTACAGTTCTTATAGATATTAGAGAACACTTCCAGCCAGGCTTTCAGTTAACATTTTAGGCATATTGTACAAAAGCAAATAGCTTTTTACATCTTTTCCGGCTTTGATTCCTTCTTTTTTAAGAATACGTCGAACGGAGCGATCTGAGATTTCAGTGGAGTGGTTTTGAGTTGCTTTGAGTTGTTTTGAGTTGCTTTGGGTTGAGTTTTTTGCAGTCTTTGAGTTACGTTTAAGACGTTCAATAACTTGTTTGCGTCGCTGGAGTGTAGCTATCTTAGGAAATCCTCTCTCAATCCGGTTGTCGTTGTTTCCCATCTCTTTGTAACGTTTGGTGGCTTTTGAAACGACCGACGACGACGAACGATCAAGAGCAAAAGATCGGCATCAAAAGATCGGCATCAAAAGATCGGCATCAAAAGATCGGCATCAAAAGGTCGGCATCAAAAGGTCGGCATCAAAAGGTCGGCATCAAAAGGTCGGCATCAAAAGATCGGCAATCTCCATCACTTGTTTTCTTTTCTCGAACAATCAAATTATCGCCCGGCGCAAGTCCTTTTTTCTTTTCATATCTAATAACAAAGCATTTAACAATAGTTAAAAGTAAATGAAAGCA